TTTTTTTTTTTTTTTGCGGAACCAGAGATTGAACTCAGACCCTTGTGCTTGCCAGGGAAGCTCTTACTCCACTGAGCCATCTCCCTGGCCCAGAAGTCTTTCTCATATGGGATACAAAAACACACCATAAAGGACTGGAGGATTAATCTGACTTAATTAAAACTAAGAACAACTGGTTTATCAATGGATACCATTAAGAGAATAAAAGGACATGCTGAGGGTGGGGCAGAACAACAAAAGGTTTATACCTAGAAAACACACACACACACACACACACACACACACACACACACCACTGAAGATATTGAAATACTTAGCAAAATGGTCTTTAAAATAAAGCTCTTGGGCAGGGGAGATAGCTCAGTAGGCTAAGCGCAGCAGGCAAGCGCAGGGACCAGGGTTCTATCCCCGGTCCCCCATGCCACACCAGCCCTGCCCCCAAGGCTCACTGAGCCAGCAACTGAGTCCAGGCGTGGTGGTGCACACCTGTAATCCCAGCACTGCAGAGGCTGAAAACAGAAGGATCACTATGAGTCTGAGCTGCGCAGTGACACCCTGTACCAAATCCATAAAATGAAAAAAGCAAAATAAAATAAGGCTCTTAAGTCCATTGTTAAGGAAGTAAATGCAAACTAAAACTAAAACAACATATTACTGGGTGCCCCCCCAAATGGCTACAAATTATAAGGTGCACAATACCCAGTGTCAGGTACAAAGTAACAGGGAACTTTATTGGCTGCAGGCAGCAGCCGTTCTGTACTAAGGCTGGTGAAGTGACGCAGGGCAGAAAGGCATGTGTACTATATGCACCAAGACAGCAAAACATAATCTCAATTTCCATCAACAGTAAAATGAATGAATAAAATTATGATACAATACACTCATGTGCTGCTGAGCAACAGGGCCGTGTTCTGAGAAACGTGTCCCTGTGCAAACCTCAGGATACTGATACAAGCAGGGACAGAGATGATGTCACTGGCAATAAAATCTTAAAGGACCATCGCTGTGTACACTGCCCAGCCTGGGCTGTGATGTGACCATGGTCACACATCAGACACCTGCACCGACTGTGACTCACGCACTTTCCCTACTGAGGGTCGCGCAGAGGCCACAGGGCAGCAACCAGCATGAAAGGCTTCTTCTGG